CAGCTTGCACAAAAAATAAAAGGAACTCAGGGCTTCATTTCATTCCTTCGAGCACATGGATGTATATTACCATGTTTAAGCTTTTTTGAAAGCTTTGATTCTCAACCAAAATCGAACAGTACAAATACCAAACCTGTCTAAAATCTGAATACATATCTAACTATATAACATTCGAAAACCATATATCAAAGGTTAGCGCAAATTTGTTTGATGCCAAAATCGAAGCCTAACTAGTCAGAATTGCAGTTCTCAACATATATGCCATGATAATCGAAACTAAAAGCATGGATAACTTTCTAGACATGATATCTACATTTCTCTTTTTTAATGCATATACAAATGAAGTTTAAACGAAAGGTAACAAGTTTAAGAAATCTTACCTCTTGGAGCTAAAATTGAAGTACTTCGACAGAACCTCCAGAAATGGTTTAATATTTGATCAAGTCTGCCTCAAACTCCTTGAAGTTATTCCAGGTGCTACTTGGCTTTGAAAACCACTTGAATCGAAGGTTGATTAGGAGTGAATCAAATAGTTCCCTGACTTCCTTGAGTGGTCTTTTTTGAAGGTTTTTTGGAAATATTCTAAGGCTAGTGGATGAAAGCTAGAAGGAGTGAGTTAAAAGGCTAATGTATGTGGAAACTGGATGGCGAATCGAAAGAGCTGATGGGTGGAAGTTGGAGGATGAATCGAAAGGCTCTAACGTATAAAAGGATTTGATTTTTTTGAGAGTTTGAGAGTGTGAGAGTTTTTTATGATCTCTTTTTTTCTATCCCTCAGTCGTCCCCTGATTTATGAAGAGTCTCTCTATTTATAGAGAGGAAGATTCTTTCACGTTCAGGATAACATGTTATTGTTTTGTGTAAAACGAAAAGAAATCTTTTTTAATGGGTTTTTCATGGTTCCTAAGTTCAAGTACAAGTGGGGGGCCTGGTGTCTGCGGGAGACTTGACTTATGCTTTTTGATGTTACTTGCACTCAAGGATAAAGGTTACAAGGCTCAATGCATTGACAATTTGCATAAAGCCTGTTTTTCTAGAAACGACAATGATAACTTTATGCTATATACGGAATGACCTTTTGGACAATACTTTAAACACCTGGGTAATAGTTTAAATAATTGTGTAAACAATTAATTATGGAGTGAGGCATAGGTTTGAGGCCTGAAAAGCAAGATCATATAGCCCTGACCTATGGATTTTGTCTTCAACTTCATGCCTTGGATCGAATACCTTGTCGTTCGTTCAGGCCATGCAGATCCATCCTTCGACCAAACGAATTAGAATGTTTTCAACAATGGTTTGTCTTTCGATTGGGGCCATATCCAGCTGCTTGTACCATTTTGAACCCTTTTGTTTTTGATCACGTAAGTCCAACCTTCGACCAAACTCAAGGCAAGCAAAAAACTAAAAAATCCTCACAATGGCATGCCTTTCGATTGAGGCTATATCCAGTTGTCTGTACCATTTTGAACCCTTTTGTTTTTTATCACATAAGTTCAACCTTCGACCAAACTCAAGGCAGGCAAAAACTAAAAAATCCTCACAATGGCATGCCTTCCGATTGGGGCCATATCCAACTGCCTTTACTACTTTGAATAAGAAAGATAGTCTCAATGGCATTGTTAAAACGAAAGGAATTCTGGATTAGCTTCTTACTTCACCAACAGAAGCCAAATTCCCTAAACGAAGAATGCATCCAAAGCTATGAAGGAAAGCCATACGCCCAAACGAAGAATGCAACCAAAGCTTGCATCAAAGGGGGGGGGGGTCACATGCCCAAATGAAAGATGCATGCAGGAGGTCCAAATGTGAAATCGAAGGATGCCAGAAAGAGGCCTTTGCCTCCTGATTCGAAGGAAGCATGTAACACCCTAATTCTACTCGACAATTATATAAATAAATCAGAGTTATAAAATCATTCATGCAAACGAATCGGGATGCCACAAATTCATCATTAAAAACTCATTGCATTCATCGTGGATACATAACACTTTAAAACTTCGGATGAACCATCAGCATAGCAATTTAATCTCTTAAATCAACAATTTAACATCTACGCGGCGGAATTCTTAATAACATCTTTATCATGGTTACAACAACTTAAAAACAACACAATTTTAATAATAATCAACTTAAAGTTCAATAACTGAATAATCAACAATCAAAAGCAACAAGCGTTCATCCCCCTGAGTGTTACATATCAGAGCAATGACACTGACTCGAACTATTGAAGGTATACAACATTCACTCTCGATTACCTGCACGTTACCAACGTAAGGGTAACATTCAAACAGAAGGGGTGAGATATCTAACAATATAATAAAGCATGTGATAATTAATATATTAAATTAGATCACATAAAATCACCACTTCTCATCTTATAATCAACAATAATCGCAATGGAAATACCAATAGTAATACACATTTATCACATTAATTCACAACTTCTTTATGCAATCATATAATGCGACTCGATACTATGCAAATGCATGTGGTACCAGTGGAGCAGAACTCCCATCTTAAAAATATGCCAATAAATAGAGGCATCAACAAGGCATAAGCCTTCGTCTTAATATCCGCCAATACAGGCCATCTTAACGAGCATAAGCTCCATCTTGAAATGAAATGTATGCGAAACAATCATGAATGTAATGACAACACCATAATTGACAACATCTCAACACAACATCATCATTGGCCATAAGCCTACATCTTTATAACTGCCAATTATTATAGGCATCTCAACATCTTTCATCAACATCATATATCATCATAATTCATCCAACATCATATATCACCATAATTCATCAAACATCATATATAATCGTAATTCATCAAACATCATATATCATCGTAATTCATCAAACATCATATATCATCATAATTCACAACAATTCAGCCACAACAACATTACAACAACAATTCGTCAATCTCGAAACGTTTGCCATAGGCCTGCAACATGATATTGCCTATAATTAATTAATCCTCTAAGGCTTACCTCTAAATTACTAAACTTTTACATATTTTTATTCTGTAATACTACATCATTATCATCATTAATCCTACTGTTACAAGTCAAACAGTAATCTATAATCATCTCCTCCTCATCATTCTTCACAAAAATCAACATAACGATCAACACAAGAACTAATCCAATTCCTAACTAGGATACTAGGATTATCCTTCTTATTCTTCATTTTAATCCTTAAGAATGAAGTTCATTGTTTTAGCTATTCAACGCTTCGAACGACACCTCAAACGGAGTCCGAAAACACAAGTTACAGCCTTCTTAAACTGATTCTGCCAAAAACCAGACAACATGGATCGACGCGTAATGTCTTGGGTCGACGCGTACTGAACTGAACACGCTACACGAGTCGACGCATACTCTCTCGTATCAATCATACTGAGTCTGTAACACTGCATGTATCGACACATGCTCCTACGTATCGACTCATCCTGAGTCTAAAAAACCTCATGTATCGACGCAGGACTCATTCGTATCGACTCATCCTGAGTGTAAAGGCCTTCTTGCATTGACACATAACGTTTGGGGTCGACACATACTGCTTTGTCATGAATAATGTCTGCGATTTTCTCTGTATTTTCACTACGGGTTCCATACTTTAGGCCCTAAAAACATCCTCTAGTCATAGATAATCATCAATTATAATCATCCTGTAATTCTACATCATTTATACAACATTAGGGCGTCATTATTCATCCATAATTCATCAATTTTCATCATACAACAACATATATAATTCAATCATAAACCAAACAATATTTCACCTCTAACCCCACATACCAGTTATCATAAACCCTATTATAGAGTCAGAACCCCACCTTTACCTTGGATTGAAGGTTGCTCTATAACTTTTCCAATTGAATCTCGTTCTGCCTCTTTTCCTCCTTTCCAACAACTTTCACATTCTTTCTCTAACCCTTATTCTTCTTACTCACTACGCCAAAATAAGTTACGAAAGCGCTTTTTTTGGCCTTTAAAAGCGCTTAAAAGCTCTTTCTAAGGTGGCGCTGCTATAGGTTTTAGCAGCGCTTTTTCTTTAATGAAAAGCGCTTTCGTAGGTCTACCTACGAAAGCACTTTTTCTAAAAAGCGCTCTCTTAAGTAGGCTTTTGGCAGCGCTTTTTTATGAAGAAGCGCTTTCATAGGTCTACCTAAGGCAGCGCTTTTTTCTGGAAAAGCGCTCTCATAAGTTTTCTTTTAGCAGCGCTTTTTTCTGGAAAAGCGCAGTCTTAGGTAGGCTTTTAGCAACGCTTTTTTCTGGAACAATCAACAAACACTGTTGGGATCTAAAACAAATAGAATCAATGTTTTTTACAAATGAATCTCAGAATGTATAGAAAATAAATCAAATCTTACAAAACAAATAAAATAAAATCAATACATTATAGAATCGAATCAATTACAAACGATTTCAACCCCTAATTTTCCTAATCACTCTAAATCTAAGCTCTAATCAAACTTGTAACGATGTTTTGCAAAATCTGAAACCCTAAGCCCTATAAATAGCTAAAGAAGAATACAGAAAGGGGGGGAAGATTTGAAGACGGAGCAGAAAAGAAGAAAAAACTTAGAGGAATACGGAGCCTTGCTGTTGAAAAGGAGAAAATATGATTTAGGGTTTCAATATCTGAAACCCTAAATCGCGCCGCCGTCAACCTCCCATAAACGCATCTCCGAGCCGCCATTACATCACCTTCGAAGGCCATCACCTCCCTTGACCTGCAAATCGAAAAGAAAGAAGAAGATAAGAACCAGAAACATAACATATCAGAACAATCGTGATCAGAGGTAAACGAAACTTAGCTTTTTGATTTCTGCGTTTTGATTTCTGCCTCTCAACTCATTCAAAATATCAAACCAACTCCATTTGCAAAGGAAAAATATCTTATAAATGGGAGACACGTTTATGATGTCATCAATATCACAAATGGACCATGGGTTACCTGCAATGATGCATCGATTTACAAATAAAGTTAGCCATAACTCTCAACCACGTCACTCAAAGTTAACATATTCAGCCTCAAATTTCTCTCATGTTCTGATGCATAACATGTGTGCACATAGCAATCAAAGAAAAACATAATACCTTGATTTATTCCAGTTAGCCATCTTATTTCGGTTAGCACCTCCATAGTGCAGAGGAGCAGCAACAACCCTACGCGCAACCTCAGTTGCAAGGGGAAATTGGTTTCCCTGGAAATTTGACCTTCTTTTTGCAAGAACTCCCTAAGAACCGCAAGTGAACGAGTTAATATCGGAAATATGTACAAAAATGAAAACATAATATGACTGTGGTGCTTCATACACATACTTGTCTAAGAGAAGATCTCTACTCCATGTACCGGCTCGCCTTAAAAGATCTATCTTGTGCAAAACTGTTTGTAAATTTTTTGCTCTTGTTCTGCATAGACATGAATATGAATCAATCAAGCAAAACAATAACTATGAATTACCATGAATAAACAAATAAGCAAAGAAATATTCAAAAGAAAAAACACTTACCGAAACCCTAGTTTGCTTTGTTGTAAATTTAGGGTTTTTAGACATTTTGATTATGTCATCTGTGAACAACACCAACATTAAATATATCAAAAAGAATAAAAAGGATGTTATACAAAAAGGTTATGATGAATGTGATATAACAAAAAAAACATACCTAGTGTCATGTCCATCTTCTTCTCTGTAAGAGCAACAAGCTCGGTGATAAGTGGTTTAGCTACCATCTGAAACAAAAGCATGAACAAATATCAATTAAAAATCAGCAACCATATTCAGCACGAATTGAAGGCAAAAATTGATGTAATATGAAGAATCACGATGCGTAAAGACTTTATTCTAGGGTTTGAGACGACGAATTCGATGAAACATGAGGGTTTGTAAGATAAGAATAAACACAGAAAGAGGTAGCGAGAAAGAGATGAATTGAAGGAGAGAACTTACGACAGCGGGGAAATCAAACAAACAATCGCGATCAGAGGTTAAGTTTTGAGTTTATAGTCGGGAGAAGGATCGGGTTTGAGCGCCGCTGCGGGGTTGGTTTTAGGGTTTTATGTTAGATAATAAAGGAAGAAGGTGGAGTAGAGAGAGAGAGAGAGAACGATAATGGTTAATGAACGAATGAACAAAAATGAAAATATAAAATGTATAAAACTACCTACAAAAGCGCTTTTAAAAGCGCTTTCTAAAGGTCATCTATAACAGCGCTTTTACATCAAAAAGCGCTTTCGTAGCATATCCTATAGCAGCGCTTTTAAAAGCGCTTTCTAAAGGCCAACTTTAGCAGCGCTTTGAAAAAGCACTTTCTAAGGCTGACCTTTAGCAGCGCTTTTGAAAAGCGCTTTCTTAAGGTACCCTCTGAAAGGCCAACTTTAGTAGCGCTTCCCAAAAAGCGCTTTCTAAGGGTGACCTTTATAAGCGCTTTTGAAAAGCGCTTTCTTAAGGCACCCTTTGAAAGCGCTTTTTTAAGCGCTTTTTTTTTAAAACCTACAACAACGCTTTTTTCCAAAAGCGCTTTCTTTTATGTGCTGCTAAAACTTATTTTTGGCGTAGTGACTGCTTCTTCTTTTCTATTATTTCCAACAATAATAAAATAACCCTATTATTCTCAAAATACCTTAATGGGCTGAAGACTACTACACCCCTTTTATTTCTACTTCCATCCTATAAAACAAGCCCACATCAAATAATATTATCATTCTAATATTATCCCACAACTTAATAAAATAAATAAATCCAACTAATCACAACACAACTTCACAAATATTCCAAAAATAATTTAATTAAATAATTAATTAAATTACGGGCATTACAACTCTCCCCCACTTAGAATATTTTTGTCCTCGAAAATTTACCTTAATCAAACAACTCAGGATAGGAGTCTCGCATCTTGCTCTCCAACTCCCAAGTCATGCTTTCTCCAGCAGCTCCTAGCCAAACCACTTTAAGCAAAGCAATCTCTTTGCCCCTCAGAGTTTTTATTTCACGATCCGCGATCCGTACATGCATCGTCTCCACAATAATATTATCCCGTACTTGCACATCATCCATATGAATCACATGAGATGAATCTGAATTATACTTCCGGAGTTGCGACACATGAAACACATCATGCAAATTCGAAATATTAGGCGGTAAAGTCACTCTATAAGCAACATTCCCCACTCTCTCAAAAATCTGATATGGTCCAATAAAACGACAAGTGAGCTTCTTAGACTTCAATGCTCGCCCAACACCAGTCATGAGTGTAACTCTCAAAAACACATGGTCACCCGCTTGAAATTCTAAATCTTTCTTTCGCTTGTCATGATAACTCTTCTGTCTACTTTGGGAAGATTTCATCCTTTCTCGAATCAACTTCACCTTCTCAGTAGTCTCACGAACAAGTTCAGGCCCAAGTACTACACTTTCACCAGATTCATGCCAACATAAAAGAGTTCTACATCTTCGACCATACAACGCTTCAAAAGGTGCCATCCCAATACTGGAATGGTAACTGTTATTATAAGTGAACTCTATCAACGGAATATAAGTATCCCACTAACCTCCCTGCTCAAGAACACATGCCCTCAGCAAGTCTTCCAACAATTTAATAGTCCGTTTAGTATGACCATCTATTTGAGGATGATACGCTGAACTCAACCTCAACTTAGAACCCAACGCTTCTTGCAAACTCTCCCAAAAATCAGAAGTAAATCTTAGATCTCTATTTGACACAATGCACAAAGGAACACCATGCAGCTTCACAATTACACTAATGTAAATGTCAGCCAACTTCGACACTGGAAAACCGATGTTAATAGGAATAAAATGAGCCGACTTTGTAAGCCTATCAACAATCACCCAAATCGAATCATGTCCTCTTAAAGTATTATGTAACCCCGTCACAAAGTCCATTGAAATGTTATCCCATTTCCATTCCGGAACTTCCAACGGTTGCATCAACCCTGTAGGCTTCTGATGTTCAAATTTCGACTTCTGACAAGTCAAACATGCATACACAAACCGAGCCACATCACTCTTCATCTCATGCCACCAAAACAAACCTTTAAAATCTTGATACATCTTTGTAGCTCCTAGATGAATACTCAACTTACTTCTATGACTCTCTTCAAGTATCACTTTCTTCATCTCAGCATCATCAGGAATACAAATCCGGTTACGAAATCTCAACACACCTTGTGCATCTAGCTTAAAATCATTATTCTCAGACTGATCGATCCCAACCATCGAATCTATCAGTTTCACATCCAACTTCTGAGCTTCTCTGATACTGTCTAGAAATTCATTATTAATCTTCAACATACCCAATATAACACTTCGCGACGTAACCTCGTAAATTAAGCTCATATCTCTAAACTGCTCAATTAATTCCAACTCTTTAACCATCATTGCCGACATATGTAAAGTCTTTCGACTCGACGTATCAGCTACCACATTCGCTTTTCCTGGATGACAATTCAAATCGAAATCATAATCCTTTAACAATTCCAACCATCTTCGTTGCCTCATATTCAACTCCTTCTGATCGAATAAATACTTTAAGCTCTTATGGTCACTAAACACTTCAAATCCAGAACCATAAAGATAATTCCTCCAAATCTTCAACACAAAAACAACTGCAACAAGTTCTAAATCATACGTAGGATAGTTCTTCTCATGAATCCTCAACTGCCTTGACGCATAAGCAACTACCTTATCATTATGCATAAGCAAACCTCCTAAACCCATCTTAGAAGCATCACAATACACCACAAAAGGCTCTCCTGGATTAGGCAACGTCAAAACCAGAGCCGACATCAACCTCTTCTTCAATTCTGTAAAACTTTCTTCGCACTGAACATCCCATACAAAAGCTCTACCTTTACAAGTCAACTTAGTCAATGGAAGTGCCAACTTAGAAAAACCTTCGATAAACTATTTATAGTAATCAGCTAATCCCAAAAAGCTTCTAATCTCAGTAGCTGACCTCAGAGTTTCCCATTGCAACACAACATCAACCTTCGATGGATCTACAGCGATGCCACTACCTGAGATCACATGACCAAGAAAACTAACCTCCTTTAACTAGAACTCACACTTAGACAGCTTTGCATACAACTTCTTCTATTTCAAAACTTGCAATACTACTCTTAAGTGTTCTGCATGCTCTTCTTCTGACTTAGAGTAAATCAAAATATCATCAATGAACACCACTACAAACCGATCCAAAGAAGTATGAAAGATACGATTCATATATTCCATGAATACTCCTGGCGCATTAGTAATACCGAAAGGCATCACCGAATACTCGTAATGTCCATAACACATTCTGAAAGCCGTCTTCTGGATATCTTCATCTTTCACCTTAATCTGATGGTAATCCGACCTCAAATCAATCTTACTAAACACACGAGCATTCACCAATTGGTCCATCAAGTCATCTATTCTTGGAAGCGGATACTTGTTCTTAATCGTCACTTTATTCAACTATCTATAATCAACACAAAGCCTCATACTTCCATCTTTCTTCTTTAGTAACAACACTGGAGCTCCCCATGGCGATACACTTGGTCTTACAAACTTCTTTTCAAGTAACTCTTCCAATTGCTTCTTTAACTCTGACAATTCAGATGCAGACATCATGTATGGTGCCATAGACACAGGTCTGGTACCAGGTATAAGATCAATTGCAAATTCAACTTCCCTCTCTGGCGGTACATCAGGAATTTCATCAGGGAAAACTTCAGGAAATTCACACACCACCTGCAATTCCTCAATTATAGTTTGAGTCTCTACAGATAGCGACACCATCAATGAGAACATATGTGCTTCCTCTTGCATCAACTTCCTTAACTGCTTAGCAGACAAAAGACTATCTTCCTCTTCTTCAGGTGTAGAAAACCTCAGACTTGTCATAACAGTTAATATGAACACAGTTATGCTCTAACCAGTTCATACCCAAAATCACATCCAAACCTCTTAACGGTAAACAAACCAAATCAACAACAAAGTCTCTGTCGAAGATCGACAAGGGACACTTTAAACACACAAAAGAAGTAGTCACCAACCCCTTGGCTAGAGTATCCACAACCATTTCTCCATTCATAGAAGACAACATAAGACCCAATCTTTCAACACAATCAACAACAATAAAGTAATGAGTATCACCGGTATCGATAATAGTAATTAAAGGAGTACTATTAATGAAACATGTACCTCTGATAAGTCTGTCCTCAACAGTTGTCTGATCCTCAACCAAAGCGAACACTTTACCACATGTCTGAGCCCTCTTCGGTTTCTAACACTGACTGCCAATGTGCCCTTCTTCACTATAATTGAAACAAATCACATCCTTATGCTTGCACTCAGATACAGCATGTCTGTTCTTACCACAACAGAAACACCTCTTTACTTCAGTAGTACACACATTACTCTTATTCCCAGGTTTCCCATATTTAAAACAAACCACACCAGCAGGAGCATTTCCTCCACTAGTCCCCTGACCCTGAGCAACTTTCTGTTTACCTTTACCAGCTGGGGTATCATAAGGTTTACCATGATTCTGCTGGTGCTTACCCCTCTTCTCACCGATAATCTTGTAATGAGCATTATTATCCTCCTCATAAATCCTGCAACTATCAATTAAATCAGCAAAGACACGGATCTTCTGGTATCCAACTGCCTTTTTGATCTCCGGGCGTAACCCGTTCTCAAACTTGATACACTTCGAAAACTCAGCATCTACCTCAGCATAGTGCGA